CTGATATTTTAGAACCAGAGGGCAAAATAGAAATGGAAAGAATCCACCGATCTCCTCCTGAAAGAGATCCCCAAAGGAAAACTCCTAGGAATATTGTAGCCAAATTCCAGAGTTCCCAGGTCAAGGAGAAAATATTACAAGCTACCAGAAAGAAACAATTCAAGTATGGTGGAAACACAATTAGGATAACACAAGATTTAGCAGCTTCTACATTAAAGAACCGCAGGGCATGGAATATAATATTCCAGAGGGCAAAGGAGATAGGATTACAACCAAGAATCACCTACCCAGCAAAACTGAGTATAATCCTTCAAGGGAAAAAATGTTCATTCAGTGCAATAGAGGACTTTCAAGCATTCTTGATGAAAAGACCAGAGCTGAATAGAAAATTTGACTTTCAAACACAAGACTCAAGTGGAACATGAAGAGGTAAACAGGAAAGAGAGCTCATAAGAGACTTATTAAGGTTGAACTGTTCGCATTCTTGCATGGAAAGATGATATTTATAATTCATGAGACCTTTGTCAGTATTAGGGTAGTTGGAGAGGGAAAAATTATATGCCCTCCAGAATATTATATTCCATGCCCTCTGGTCCCTTAATGTAGAAGCTGCTAAATCTTGTGTTATCCTAATTGTGTTTCCACCATACTTGAATTGTTTCTTTCTGGTAGCTTGTAATATTTTCTCCTTGACCTGGGAACTCTGGAATTTGGCTACAATATTCCTAGGAGTTTTCCTTTGGGGATCTCTTTCAGGAGGAGATCGGTAGATTCCTTCCATTCCTGTTTTGCCCTCTAGTTCTAAAATATCAGGGCAGTTTTCCTTGATAATTTCTTGAAAGATGACGTCTAGGCTCTATTTTTGATCGTGACTTTCAGACAGTCCAGTAATTTTTAAATTATCTCTCCTGGATCTATTTTCCAGGTCAGTTGTTTTTCCAATGAGATATTTCACATTGTTTTCTAATTTTTCATTCTGTAGCTTTACCAGCTCAAGTAAACCCCTTTTTTACATTCCCTTCCTTGATTGTATTGGGTCAGCCTTTTTCATCATCTTGATGCCCAAGATTAAGATGGCTTCCTCAGTCTCCAAAAATAAGGGGTTAGCATCTTTTTTTGTTATTTGTTATTTGTGTTTTTTTGGTAGATGGGCTGGGAAAATTAGCATCTTTTAAAAGAAATCTACATGGTTTTGTTGTTCTGTATTTGATATATACAATAAAAAATGAACACTTCCACATACATGGAACAGAAAAAGAGGCTTGTATGTGAATTCATGAATCTATTATATGTAGATTCCTTCTTTAAAAATAACATAATACATTTTGTGCATGTAATCAGAACTTCTTTGTTATCTCTTCTGTTCATAAAAAAAAGCTGTAATTCTCTTTTCTTTCCTTCTTTTGTTTTGATATCACTATCACTACTCCTGCTTCTCCCTCCAAATTCCCTCTCCCAAATAAAAAACCAAACAACAAAAAACAAACTCCTTTGTAACAAATGAGCAAAATAAAAATATAGCTTGATCTGCCCTTTGAATCCTTTCCCTCTTTTTTTGATCTCTTTGTATCACAGACCCTAGTAGTGGTATTATTGGGTCAAAAGGTACGTACAATATAATGCTTTGGGGGCATCATTTCAAATTGTTTTCCAGAATGGTTGGACTAGTTCATAGCTCTACCAAAAATATATTAAATAAAGTACCTGTTTTCCTCTATCCCCTTCAGTATTTGTCATTTTCCTTTTTTGTCAACTTAGCCAATCTGATAGGTGTGAGATGGTACCTTGAGTTGTTTTGTGTTTCTCTAATTACTGGTGATTTAGAACACTTTTTCATATGGCTATTGATAACTTCAGTTCCTTCCTTTGAATACTGTCCATTAATATTCTTTGGTCATTTATCAATTGGAGAATAGCTCTTATTCTTATAAATTTAACTTAGTGTCATATAATGAAATTAGACTTCTCAGAGAAATTTGCTGCAAAGATGCCCCTCCCCCAATTTCCTGCTTCTTTTTAAATTTTAATTACATTAGTTTTATTTGTGCAAAAACTTTTTAATTTTATGTAATCAAAATTATTTAATCTCCTATGAGCCTCTCTTTCTCTTGTTTGGTCATGCACTCCCCTAGCCATAGATCTGACAAAGAAATTTCTCCCATGATCATCTAATTTGCTTATAATGTCACCCTTTATGCCTAAATTATGTACTCATTTTGAGCTTATCTTGGTTTATAATGTGCGATGTTGGTCCATACCTAGTTCCTGTCAGACAACTTGCCCAAAATTTTTTGAATAATAAATTCCTGTCCTAATAACTGCTATCTTTGTTTACCAAAAACAAAGCTTCTATGCCCCCATACTTTCAAATTCTTTGCTACAGCAAAAAGTCCTTCTGCAAATGGTTTTGTACATATGCCTTTCTTTTTTCTCAGATCTTTCTGGTGTATATACCAGCGGCAGTATCAATGGGTTGAAAAGCATGCACAATTTGTTAACTTCTGGGGGTATAGTTTCAAATTGGTCTTCAGGATTTTTTTACCAATTCAGAGCTCTACTGACAGTCAATTTGTTTGCCTGTCCTCCCACATGCCCTCAAAATCTTATAAAAGTGAATGTTAAGAACTAAAAATAAATTAATGTGTGTATGTATATATATATATATATATATATGTACCTACATATATATATATATATATATACACATACACACACTGTAAATAGAAGGTAATCTGAGGATGAAGAGTTGTGGGGAGAAGACTCAGAATGACTTCTGAAGGTGGAATTTCATTATTTTTTATCAATTAATTAATTTTTAGTTTTCAACAATCACTTCCATAAGCTTTTGAGTTTTAAATTTTCTCCTCCTTCCTCGAGTTCTTTCCCAAGACAGAATGCAATCTGATATAGGCTCTACATATACATTCCTATTAAACATATTTTCACATTAGTCATGTTGTAAAGAAGAATTAGAACCAATAGGAGGAACCACAAGAAGAAACAAAACAAAACAGAAGAAAAAAAAAGCAAATCCTATGCTTTGATCTGCATTCAAACTCCATAGTTCTTTCTCTGGATGTGGACAGCATTTTCCATCATGGGACTTTTGGAGATGGATCCTGGCATTGCTAAGAAGAGACAAGTCTATCAAAGTTAGTCATTGCAAAACATGGCTGTTACTGTGTACAATGTTCTCCTGGTTCTGCTCGGCATCTATACAAGTCTTTTCTGGTTTTTCTGAGTCTGCCTGACCCTTATTTCTTATAGCACAATAGTATTCCATTACATTCCTATACCACAACTTATTCAGCCCTTCCCTAATTGATGGGCATCCCCTCAATTTCCAATTCTTTGCCACCACAGAAAGAGCTGCTATAAATATTTTTATACATATGGATCCTTTTCTCATTTTTATGATCTCTTTGCTTTTTCTTTTTAAGATTTTTTTTTTTGGCTAGGCAATGAGGTAAAGCGACTTGCCCAGGGTCACACAGCTAGTAAGTGTTAGGTGTCTGAGGTCACATTTGAACTCAGGTCCTCCTGAATCCAAGGCTTGTGTTCTACCCACTGCATCACCTAGCTGCCCCTATGATCTCTTTGGGATACAGACCTAGAAGTGCAATTGCTGGGTCAAAGGGTATGCAGTTTTATAGGCCTTTGGGCATAGTTCCAAGTTGCTCTCCAAAATGGTTGGATCAGTTCACAACTCCATCAACAATGCATTAATGTACCAATGTTCCCACATTTTCTCCAACATTTATCATTTTCCCGTTTTGTCATGTTAGCTAATCTGATAGGTGTGATATGGCACCTCAGAGTTGTTTCGATTTGCATTTCTCTACTCAACAGTGATTTAGAGCATTTTTTCATTTGACTATAAATAGCTTTAATTTCTTCCTCTGAAAACTGCCTGTTCATATCCTTTGAGCATTTATCAATTGGAGAATGACTTGTATTCTTGTAAATTTGACTTAGTTCTCTATATATTTTAGAAATGGGGCCCTTATCAGAGTCACTGGTTGTAAAATTTTTCCCCCAATTTCCTACTTCCTTCCTAATCTTGGTTGCATTGGCTTTGCTTGTGCAAAAACTTTTCAATTTAATGCAATCAAAATTATCCATTTTGCATTTCATAATGTTCTCTATCTCGTTTGGTCATAAATTCTTCTGTTCTCCATAAATCTGAGAGGTAAACTATTCCTTGTTCTCCCAGTTTGCTTATAGTATCAGCTGAAGGTGAAATCCTAGCAGACGTGAAGGAAGCCAGAGGTGGATTTAAGGAAGAAGAGCATGATAAGTATGGGGGACAAGAAAGGAGGCTGGACCCATGATTTTCGAGTGCATTCTTTTGATAAATGAGTAGCCAACATGAGGCAGTGCAATGTACACTCTGTTGGGGAATATGAGAACTGAATCTGGTCCCCCCATTTTAATAAGTAAGCATTTAACACTACAAGAACCAGGCAACTGATGAAGAACTTTCGTAATTTTACTATAACTTTAGTTATTGGGGGCAGCTAGTGGTGCAATGGATAGAGTGCCAGACCTGGAGCCTGGAAGACTCATCTCCCTGAGTTCAAATCCAGCCTCAGACACTTATTAGCTGTGTGACCCTGGGCAAGTCACTTAACTCTGTTTGACTCAGTTTCCTCATCTGTAAAATGAGAAGGAAATGACAAACCATTTCAGTATCTTTGACAAGAAAATCTCAAATGGGGTCATGAAGAGTTCGACACCAATGAACAACTATGGCTCCTATCTGTGCAAATGTACTTCACAAATATCTGTAAGCAGAATTTCTAATTTTACTTCTAAATAAGAAATTCCACCCCAATATCTCTAGTCTCTTTGCCTTAAGGTAATTACAAGCAGACATTCTGATTTTACTTTGAAGAAAAAATTTCAACCTATCCTTATGTCCTTTGCCTTAAGGTAATTACAAGCAGATTTTCTTGAAATAAAAATTTTTATTCTATCTCTATTTTTTTTTTTTGCCTTAAGGTCCTGGATAAACAACAACAGAAACGCAATGAGTCACTTAATTCAGCTTGGTCTTTTACACCTTGTCTTGAATTCTGGTCCTTCTCATTACGCACTGACTGAATTGTATAAGAAATTGCTAGGCGAAGGTGGGAGAGTTGGATACAACCAGGACGTGTCAGAAGTAGCACCTGAACCCAGAACACCAGGCTCTGGGGCCGAGCTCTCAATTGGAAAAGCTGCCGCCAGGCCGCCTAATTTCGGACTCCTTCCGACGTAATAACATCACCAGATCCTAGCCCTACAACGTAATGACGCCACCTCGCAGCACGTGTCTTGTTGTAGTCCCTCGCCTCCCCTTCCGACCTAGTGAGCCATGAGGCTCAAAAAGAATAAAATGTCTTTTTCACCTCCACTCGCGCCCCCTCCCCCATAAGCATCAGTCCTTTAAGGAGCCATGACCGGAAGTAGCTGCAGTCCACATCGCTTTCTCCCCTCTGGCAACTATAAGGTCAGAATGCCCCGATCCGGGGGTGGTGCTGGCTCCGCAGACGCTTTCCGGTCGGTCCGTACCTTATCGCTTCCTCTCCCGACTCCCCGGACACCTCCCCCACCGCCCCCATTAGGAGGGAGGGGCTCTGGCTCCCTCTGGCCCTCCTCCTTTTCCTTCTCCTTCCACCCTCCCCTTGCAGACCGCCTTGTCGTTGGCGCTAACGTCATCACGCACGGGTGACCTCCGCCTCCATCATGGTCGCGGCAGTAGATTAGGGTCGTGGGTCGGGCTAGTTGCTGCCGTATCTGCGGGACTGTGTGAGGGCCCGCTGCCGCCGCCGCCGCCGTCGCCGTCGCCGTCGCCACCGCCTCCTCTCCCTCCTCCTCTTCCTTCTTCTCTTCCTCCCCCGGAACCAGGGCCAGGTGACGAGGGGACGGGGTCCGGGCAGCCAGGGCCGGGCCGGGCCAGCCGAGGAAGCGGGGGCTGGGGCCGGGAGCTCTGGTGCCCTAGCTCGGCTTCTCCTTTCCAGCCCCCGGGGGGGCTTTTGTGCTCCCAGCTCCCTTACCCGGGGACATTTGGGGCGCAGATAGACCAGTCCCTTGCCTCGAGCCTCGCTAAGGCCCCCCCTCCCTTTCCAGTGAGAACTTTTGTACCAGCAGGAGGAGTGGGGGCGCTTCCATTGCAGGTCCAAAACTTGAGGCTTGCATGTGGTTGAAAACCAGAGAGCTGATCAGTAAGAACTCTTGCTTAAGAGTGTGATCGAATAATATCACAGATAATAACTATTGACTTGATTATGCTTGGGTCACTCACCAAGTGGCTGGCGTGGGGACTAGTTAATATGACCCTTCGTTAATTAAGTCACTAGGAAATGGTGGGGTCGATGATAATAAACCCTACCTGTCAAGGTTTTTGTGAGAATCAAATGTGAGGTAGTATATGCAAAATTCTTTGCAAACGCTATTTATCCAAAGAGATAGTTCCACTGCCCCTATTTAGACTTTTTAAATCGAGCTCATTCTTTATATCTTGTTTTTGTATTGGGGTCTTTTCATCAAAATGGTGGAAAACAGACGGTTGAAAAAAGCTGTTGGCTTCCACTGGACACTTGAGATAAAATTTAGTACCAGGATGCCAGTGACTTACTTACAACTTTGGATAAGTAGACACTTTCTTCTAGTATTTCTTTTTCTCCAGAGAATTGAGCAAGTACTTATCTACAAGCTGTTTTGAGCTTGTGAAATGTTCACCAGTCCTTGGGTAAAAATGTACCTTGAGTATCATGAGTATTTAAAGCATTATGAAATAATCTTTATTTAGCAATACAAAGCTGAAGGGAATGGGATCAGAAATTATCTTGATGTATCCTGCTCATTAATCTTTCAGTCTGGAGATATGTAGGACTATCTTAATTATTGCAGCTAATTATTATGTTTTTGAGACATTTAATAAGCAACTACTATGTTGCAGGTATGTTTGGTACTGAGAATACAAAGTTGAAAACCAATACAGTCCCTGCTTTTAAGGAATTTACGATTTTAAGTTGACAACTGTGTTTTATCTCAGAAACATCTCACTTTTCCATCCACTAGTCTGCATCAGGTCTGGTATAGCTGATTGTAATAGGGTTCTAATTGATCTGCTTGCTACCAGCTTCTTCCTTTTCCCAACACCCACCCTTCACACTGCTGCCAAATAATATTCCTAAGTCTGTCTTTATTGCTTGGCAATCTTTATTATCTATTGCTTCTAGTGTAAAATATAATTATCTGATCCTATGCAATTTAGCTGAGCCGTAGTATTTTATGCTTAAAGTTCCTGCTCCCTTACCTTCTCCCTCTTCTCACCCAGACTCCAGTCATAGGTTTATATTTTTTATTTTTTTCCTCTTAAATCTTTCTTCCCAGTTACCGGCTCTGAGCTTTGTTTTGCCTATGACTAACCTCTCTTCTACTCTCTTCCTGTTCCCTGCCCTGTTGTATTTCTACACCAAACACTTTGTGTATATGTTCTACCCTACTTTGACCAGTTTCACGTGACAGTGAGGTCCAAGCAATACCAGCTCCTCCCACGTCTTCTTTTGTAATGATTTCTTTCCACATCCTGATCATGTTCACAACTCAATTTGACATTTTTCTTAGATCTTTGTTTGATTAGTTGTGGGGAAGAGTTATTCCAATTTTCAGGAAGACAGCATGCATGGTAGAGATGGCCCAGAAGACTTGTGAACATGTGGTTTGGGACAAGGTGAGGGAAAGCTCACCTATGAGAGCCCAGCTTCCCAGGGGTAGTTCCAAGTGAAATACCTTAGAGAAAAATGAAAGAGAGGGAGCCTGTATAAGAGGTTGAAGATACTAAACTTAATTCCTTCCCATTTTGAAGGATATGTTAGATTATGTTTAGTAGATTATGTATCTTGAAGTTAATATTGATTAGAAAATTCAGTTAATAAATAGTTATTGAATACCTTTAATAGTAAACCTTCAGAACAGGAGTTCTTAACTTGGAGTCCTTTAAATTATTTAAGTATTTTGATAGCTCTTTCAATATAATTGATATCTTTTGCAATCCTATGCTTTTTATTTTATGCATTTAAAAATATTCTGAGAAAGTATCCATTGGCTGCTGCGTCCTTGACCCCCAAAAAGTTAAGGCCTCTTGCTTTGAAGTATGATGTTGTTTCCCTGTGTTAGTATCTTTTAACAAAACAAGAATGAATCCTTTTATTTCGTTTTTATCAAAGAGATTTTTGACTAATAGTCCAGCCAAATAAGGTGGTTGCCATATAGCCCTTTACACATATTTCATTTTATTGCGGAGGGCGTTGTTGGAGGCAAGAGGTGCCTTAAAAGATGAGCTATGTATAGAAGGAATGGATCTTGATGGATAGACTTTCTTCAGTAAGTAAGACTTGAGATCATCAAAAATTCTTTCTGTGACTTAATTGGAGTGGCTTATCTGCATTGGTAGAAGTTTTCTTCTGGGGTACCTACTCTTTCCCTCTTCCTTCCCCAAAAGGATGCTACTTTTTTTCATAAGCAAATTTTTTGTGCTGGTATTCATCACTCTCATCACACTCATCACCTATTTATAGGTAATCTTAGGGAAGCTTAACTTATTTTGAGAAGCAGTGCCCTAAAAAGTTATATTTGTAGTAGTAGAGATCAGAAACAAAGCATAAAGGAATGCCAGTCTGTGACTATAAATATTCTTGGACAGTCATTACGAAGTTGTAGCTAGTGTGTTTCAGCTGGATAAGCATGTTTTTGAGCTCAACAATGTGTTATTAAAATACTGTACTTAGTGTCTGTTCAGTTTTTAAAACAAAGCATATATTGGCTGACTATATTTCCCACGATGGTAGAATTTCTGCACATCCACAACTTGTATTAAACATCTTCATTTTTACTCCTGAAGAAAGATCTAAAGACATATAAAACATCAAGGAAGTACTTATCTCAGCTGACTACACCAGCAAAATTCTACATAATTATTAAAGTAATACCCCAGAAGATTTAATCTTTTCACTCTTCCTGATACTCCAGTACCTACTGCAACTAGCCCTGGGCTTCATTTCACTTCCAAGTCATCTCACCCATTGCTTTGCCATTTGAACCAGAAGCCTTGCCCTTAGGGCTTAACTCTTTCAGTTTCTTAATGTTCTTGGGGGGGGGCCCCCTGTTGTTGTAGTTCTGGTCATCATGGTTGTTATTGTTGTTTAGTTGTTTTCAGTTGTGTGCTGTTCATGACCCCATTTGGGGTCTTCTTGGCAAAGATACAAGAGTGGTTTCCCATTTCCTCTAGCTCATTTTATAGATGAGGAAACGGAGGCAAACAGGGTTAAGCCCTGAGTCACACACTAATAAGTATTTGAGGCTGAATTTGAACTCAATCCTGACTGCCATGCCTGGCATTCTGTCTACTGCCACATAGCTGCCCCCTGTCATTAATAGTCCTTATTGCTGTTCCCTACCCACTATATCTCCTAGGCCTGGCCCCCTCGATTCACTCCAGGCTATCTTGTCATCTCCCTTGCTCTATTCCTTCCTGTTCCCACTTTCCAATTTTTTTTGGGGGGGCAATTGGGGTTAAATGACTTGCCCAGGGTCGCACAGCTGGTAACTGTCAAGTGTTTGATCTGAGGCCGGATTTGAACTCAGGTCCTCCTGACTTCAGGGCCTGTGCTCTATCCACTGCGACACCTAGCTGCCCTCTCTTCCAATTCTTGAACCATAAGCAATTCAGTTCTGTCATTGACCCTGGAAAGGAACTTTCCAAAATACACTGTTCTACTACTCCCCTAAGAGAATGTAAGCTTCTTGAAAGCTGGTACTTTCCTTGTTTTAGTACCAGCCCTAGCCCTTGGCACTTAATAAATGCTTAATAAAACATTTATTTTCTCTCATCAGTTCTTTCATCTTTTAGATCTCTTCCAGCTCTAAATAAATGAGATAAATAAATACAAAGTAAACTGTTGCATTAGTGAGAATTAGTGAAAATTTATGCAGAGTCTGCCTCAAGTCTCATGGTGTCCTTGTAGTCAGTCTTCTCTTGATCAAAAGTTAGAAAGTGTTGGTGATCTTTTTTGTAGTCAAGAAATTAGATCCAGAGAATCCAGGTGACAAATAAGTTCGTGAAGCTAGATAATATTGCAGGTCTGGTGTTCAAGCCCAGATCTTCTAATTCCAAATCTAGTGCTCCTTGTGTTATGCAGTAGATAGAACACAGGGCTGGAGTCAGGAAGACTGGAGTTCAGATCTTGCCTTAGATGCTCACTAGCTGTGTGACCCTAAGCAAGTCATTTAACCTCTGTGTTTCAGTTTTGTCCTCCATAAAATGGAGATAATAATAGGACCTATTTCCCAGGGCTGTTGTGAGGGTCAAATGAGTTAACATGTAAAGTGTTTTGTATACTTTAAATCACTATATAGATGCTTTTTTAGCAAAATTATTTATAAAATACTATGCAAATGAAAGTCATTTTTTAGCCTTAATGTTACAAATAAAAGTAGCCACCA